GAACTCCTAGGTTTGTCTCACCCCAATCAGGGAACTCAAGCATTTCGCTCGCAATAGATTGCTTGCAGCAGCGTTGCGTGGTCCGAGGAACCCTGTTCCCACGGCAACCTTGGTGTTCTCTGGCTGGAACGTTCGGAACTGTTTCGGCAGGCCGGCTATTTCGAATAAACATCCACCGCAGCAATAAGCTTCCGAGGGGTTTATTTCGCATTCTTCGTCCCGTGCTTATCTTCGCAACAGAATAGGTTCCTCTCGTGTCTCGCACGTCAATCTGACGAAATTTTGCTCTCGACTACTCTAACTTGGATTAGTCATGGCGTTCTCCCAAATGAGCTTCATGGACGCTCTCCGAGTCGCCTCGAAGACCAATGATGCGTCGTCACCTTGGCTGCCGAACCGCCACTGGCCGGCACAACTGACGGACCCTACCTTTTCGCCGACCGTCAAGAAACGGAAGCCGTGCACGTTTGAACCGTACGAGCCGCCGCATCTCACGTCGCTCTCGGCTCCCGACGGTGCCGTGCCGGTCGTTTCATCGCCGTCATGTTCCGTTTCATCTACGAAGCTGCTCGTTATTCCGAGCGGGCCGTTCCGTATCGACTCGCCTGCATACGGCTCCTATCGTGAAACAACCTCCCAAACGCTCGAAGTTGAATCGGACCCTCCGCTCCTTCGCGCTATGTCGACGCCGGCACATCCGTCCCGCAGCAGTGCACTCCGTGATGTCTCCCCGCTTCGATTGGCCGAGCTGCCTCTGCTACGAACGGCCACGTGTCGTGCCGCCACAAGGAGCTCGCTTTCGCGAGCCGTTTTGGGGAATCGTATTGGCGAACTCGCTACGTCCTCTTCTGAGCCCTTTTTGGCTTCTGACAGCGAACTTCCGAAATCGTCCTCGTCGAATCAGCTGACCAGCCAGGTCAATTTCCAACACAGCAGGACGAAACGCGAGTTTGCTTCGTGTAACGACGTTACCAGCACCTGTTCGCTTAGTTCGGGCTCGGAATGGGTGAATCCCTCGGCGCTCGCGTCGTCATTGCGCGGCGAAAAAGCTGGGCGTTCCGTGGCTGACTTGATGGATCCAGGGCGTGTGCTAGTACCAGAGCTAGGGAAAGCGGTGCGACTTTTGCGGAGGAAATTGTCGCAAGAGCGACAACATCAGCAGCAAAAACCTCCAGTTCCTCTACCTACCGCGACATACGAACAGCAGAAGCAGAATTCGCAACCGTCGCAAGCTTTTTGTGAGCAATCGCAGAAGTCTTCCGAAAATTTGCCTGCGGAAGTCCCACCGTCGTCTGCTTTTGTCTCAGCGGAGGGCTATCGCAGCCGAGAATTCAGCCTGCCCGAGATTCTTTTTGCGAAGGGCGTCGGGCAGCAGACCAAAGGGACTTTGGCGATGAAATCGGATGACAGGCTGGGGGATGCGCAACCAGCACGGGCGGTTGCGGAAGGGTTTAGCGGAGAAGTGCGCGACGAAGACAAGCTGTGCATTCACGAGCTTCTGGGGCAAATCACAGGCGAGTACGGTGGTGACGAAGCGGGAGCCGCGGCTGAGCGGATGGAATGCGATGGTGAAGCTGACTTCGTGTCCAATCACGGCGTTCCTTCGCCTTTAACAACATTACCGACATCAGAAGCAGGCATCTCAGCTTCGCCAAATGTTCGCCGGAAAAGACCCCCTCCTCCTCCCCCACTTGTCGATGTCGCGAATGTCGCATGTGCTGCTTTTGCTGAAATTTGTAGCTCGGAAGGCGGAGTTTCCTCGGACTCTCCGGATTTAGCAGCAGAAACAGGAGCAGCAGGAGGAGGGAGAGGAGCAGCAGTAACACATCCAGCTGAAGCATCAGCTGCTGCATCAATAGCAGCAACAGCAGAGCTGCCATGCCCCACACCTACAGGTTGGGGAACCAACCAATGGGACCGGTTTTTCCCTGCTGAACCACCCACTCCTTCAGCCATGGTACCTACTGCCTCATCCGTGGCTTGTACCGGAGGCGGTGGTCCTGGCGACAATGGCGCTGGTGGTGCTGATGGTAATGGTGGTCAGGGTGGCAATGGTGGCGGGTTTGCCTCTCTGTGGTCAGAGGCATGGACAGAGGGGTTCAATGTGGATCTTTCTGGTTTGACTGGCAACCCTGGCTTGTGGTGATGGTAATGAGAGCTAATGGTTTAACAATGATCCTCCGCCCGCTCTGCATGCAGCCCCCCACTCCTGTGGTCTACGCTTCTTTCACATCTCAATAACTCTCATAATTTGCCAAATAATCCAGATTGATTCAACAATCTGGTTCTCCCACTGATTTACTCCAATGTCAACCTTCATCTGATTGAATGCATAGCAGAGCCCTTTCAAGAAATTTGGGTTGGTGTAGAAATGTTTTAATATGGTGGATTTGAAGGGTGCAATGGAACGAGAAAGAGAGGATTGCACTAGGTGTCAAACGAGTACAAAGTATGAGTTCGCATGTTCAGTTTCTCTACATGGGTATCAAATTGGGTTCAGATATAGCTCGGAACCCTACTCAACCGCATAGAAGTGTAAGCAAGCCGCTCCGACAAGCACAGAACTTCACTCAAGCGCAATAAAGCAAACTCGTGTGACACGCCCTAAATGCCCCCTCCGCGGTTGGCGGGGACTTGTGGGCGACGCACATTGCACTCAAGAGCAAAAATCTCGCGCCTCGACTTGAGAGCTCCAAAGTTCAACCTAGCACCAATAATTTCGCCAGCGACAACTCCGCAAATTCTTCCAAGCAGAGGCACGGATTCTTGCATCTATATCACAAAGAATAATTGCGCAGGATTGTCAACACCAATAATTGCACCTACTGCTTTGCCAAGCCGCTAGAAGCAACCTGCCATGATTCGCCCCGCATCTTCCTTTCCTCTCGCCTCGCCAGCCTTTACCCGTCTTTCCTTTCCATCCCAGATATAAAAGCCAGATCACAGCCGCTTTATCACCATCCAGTGCGCCACATTGATTCTAAGGATCTCGAAATTAATCATCTGTTAACAGTCTCTTTTCACGGAAAAATCTCCCTATCCACCAAGCATCATTTTCGCTCGATAGCACAAAGGAATTAGCATGGCTCGCTTCTCTGTGTTCTTGACTCTCGCGGTCCTCGTCGCGTTCATCCTCGCGCTTTCCTATTGCTCGCCTGCGGACGGCCGACTGGTTATTCCGTTAAGAGGTAAGCCGCCAATCGGCCATAAGTGTTTGAAGTTTTTGCGATTTCCCCGGTGACTACTATCGGAGGACCTAGAGTCGGAATTTTCAAGTGCATGCCCGCACAATGTGCATGTTTCACAAAGCCTAGTCGACAGATACTCGGAAATTCATGATTTAAATTTCTGCTTTCTGTGCACCTGGCAGGTGCTGTGACGAAGACGGCGACTCAAACTGCATTCACGCGTACGACCGGCGGAATGAGGCGACTGCTTGATGAGGATAATGACGATGACGAGGATGAGCATGATAACGACGATGATAACGACAGGCACGACGACGATAACGACAGACACGACGACCATGACGACCACGACGACCATGACGACCATGACGACAGCGGCAGTGATAACAATGGCAAGGACCTCAGCAAATGCGTGGACGCGTATAAGCGTGCCGTGCAGTGGTGCATGGTGGTACCCTTGAAGGACGAGTGTGATAAGAAGGCTTATAAGGCGTACGAGGAGTGCAAGAGCAGGAACTGATCTTGCAAAGAGGGTGGATGAAATAGCGCGAGAAAGTGGTGCAGTCAGGAATTCAATGGGGGCAGTGGAACTCGGAAGTTACCAGTAAGAGGGCAGCAGAAGGCTGGGAGGTCAATAAATAAAAGGTCTGCACATCAGACCATTGGAGGGCTGTAGATGCCGGTGTTCAGAGATGGAGGTAGGCTTTATGCGTCAGCTAATAACGAAGAGCAGAGGCAGAAGTAAGCTGTGGTCATATAGTGGAGTTTAACACTTCTCTGCTTGTTATGAAGTAGCAATAATATCGAATGTACACGCTTGGAAAATTGCAAATGATCACTTGGATGGTCAAGCTTTCCTTTTGGGAGCCATCTCAAGAATATCCCCTATCTCCTCCAGTGACAACCCCTTCGTTTCAATCACACAATAATAGACAAATGCTACGGACATAAAGCACACGGAGGCAAAGAAAAGGTACACCCCATGGACCCCAACCACTGTTGTTGCCGGAAGAAAGAAGCACCCAACACAAAAGTTGCACACCTGGAAGAAATAGGGGAAGAAACAAAATGTAGGGGATGACGTGAAAAATCAGGCTCCTCTAAACAAATTTAGTTAGAAGTTAGAACAAGAGAACAGCCGGGCATGGCCGACAAACAAAGAGCCAACATACCCAGTGAACAGCCATGCTGCAGGTATGGCCGACAATCGGTGAGCCAACATATTCAGTGAACAGCTATGCTGCAGGCACCCCTGCAGCTCGCATGAGTTATACCAGATATGGTACACCAGACACCAGACACACACACCAGGCAGGCACACCAGACACAGCAAGGGCACCGCAGGCAAGGCAAGGGCACAGGCGACAAATAAGAGTTGAAGAGTGCAACGTACCCAGTGAACGGCCACGCTGAAGGCCACTCCTGCAGCCCGCACTTCCAAGGGGAATATCTCTGGAAGCAACAGGCTGGGTATGGGGCCCACTCCACAGGAAAATGCTGTCACGTACCTGAAGTCATATAATGATTGATAATGAATTATGGACAAGAGACAAGTGTTGTCATTTGTTTAAGTCGAACCAAAGAATCCACAGGAGAATGCGGATGAATACAATGCTGTTGCATATCTATTATTCATAGTGCTGGAATAATTAATCCACATGGACAGGCGAGATGTATTATCAGCCTTGGGACCATGCCATGGTGCATAGAAATACAACACTGTATTGTTTGCTTGATTTTCCAAGCATTTGTGATAGTAACAAATGCTGGAGCTTTAATGAATGCGTGGTAGTAAGGAGCAAACCAATGTGCTCATCTTACGTGATTGTGCCGATAATGGAGAGAAGTGGCGCACGGGGTTGCAGGAGAGGCAAGGAGAGGACCGCTGAGTGGAACAACATAGAGCACCCCTGAAGCATCGCCATTCATGGATTTCGAGGGAGGGTGAGGAGGGGAGGGTGAGGGAGGGAGGGAGAGGAAGGGAGAGGGAGGAAGGGGGGGAGAGGAAGGGAGGGTGAGGAAGGGAGAGAGAGGAAGAGAGGGAGATGAGGAGAGGAAGAGAAGGAAAAACGAAAAAAGCTAAAGAGAAACTGGAAGTGATTCTGGAAGTGCTTTAGTGGATCAATAGCATTTGTCGAAAAGAGGCGCGTTAGAGATAATGATTGAAAAGAACAAGAGGCATTTGTGCACTCTGCACTACACTGCACTTCACTGCACCACTCTGAACTGCACCAAGCCACACTGTTTTCCTGTACCATGCCAAGGAAGGAGAGCAGCAGAAGGGGCTTTCTCCCTGCAGAGTCAACCAGACGAGCAGCCAGCAGCACAGCTGGTGGGGGGGAGGGACAGAGAGAAACAAGAGGAAAGAAATAAATATGAAGAACGAGATAAATGAGAGAAATAAGAGGAACGAGAGAGATTAGAGCAACAAGAGGATGAAGGAGAGTACATGGGAGACACATGACATGAAACGTCATGAAGAAGAGGCGAAGAGGTTGGATAACAGGAAACGTTATGAACAGCGATCAGGGGAGAGACAGCTATGCTGGAGGAGGGGAAGCAAGCAAAGAATAATGCAGGACACACAAGGGAGGGAGTTTTTGAGTGGAATTAGAGATTGCATGTTAGGATGGTTCACACGTACCTGCTAGCTTGAACGAGGCGATCAGAACAGAAGCGGCAATGCCGGAGGAAAATCCAGCAGAGCGGAAGATGTGGGAGGAGAAGTAAACGACCGCGTTGATGCCTGCAAACTGCTGCAGGGCGAAGAGCGCGGAGCCTAGTAGGAGCACTGGAGGTGGGAAGGGGGTTGTTGAAGGGAAGTGGAAGGGCGGGAAATGGTTCAAGAGGGTTCTGGAAAGACGTGAGGGGAGAAGTAAACGACAGCGTTGATGCCTGCAAACTGCTGCAGGGCGAAGAGCACGGGGCCTAAGAGGAGCACTGGAGGTGGGGGGAATAGGGAGATGGGAGAAGGGGAAGGGAGAAGGCCGGGAGATGGTTTGAGGCAGCATGGGCCGTGCATGAGAGGAGAAGTAGACGACCGCGTTGATGACCGAGAACTGCTGCAGGGCGAAGAGAAGGGCGCCTAGCAGCAGCACTGGAAGGGGTGGGGGGTGTCGTTGAGGGGAAGTGGAAGGGCGGGAAATGGTTCAAGAGGGTTCTGGAAAGACGTGAGGGGAGAAGTAAACGACAGCGTTGATGCCTGCGAACTGCTGCAGGGCGAAGAGCGTGGGGCCTATCAGGAGCACTGGAGATAGGGAAGGGAGATAGGGGAAGGCGCAGGGGGTTGGGAGGAGGAGACAGAAGAGCATCTGGATCAACGTTGTCAGGGTATGCGGCCGCGTGCTTCTCCAACGGGGTAGACTTTTGAGTCGACTCAAAAGTCAACAGGGTACGCGGCCGCGCACTTCTCAAAAGTCAACAGGGTACGCGGCCGCGCACTTCTCAAAAGTCAACAGGGTACGCGGCCGCGCACTTCTCAAAAGTCAACAGGGTACGCGGCCGCGCACTTCTCAAAAGTCAACAGGGTACGCGGCCGCGCACTTCTCAAAAGTCAACAGGGTACGCGGCCGCGCACTTCTCCAACGGGGTACGCAAGGAGAAGTATAACGGGGGATAGTGAAGAGTTTGAGGCGCCTCAAATGCAGTGAAAGGGCTTCCACGAGACAGACAACGCGGAAAGAGTCATTTTTAGAGTATTCAAAATCCGGAGAAGATATCCGGTCATGCGAGGAGAAGTGCATCGAACGTTGATGCTCTTGACAGGAGGAAGGTGCTTCTGAGTTTTTTTTTTTTTTTTTTTTTTAGAAATCTAAAGAACGAATCAGCTTTTGCTGCTGTAGCAGCAAAGCAATGGAGCTGGAGTTGTGAGGCCGGGAGGAAGCGGGGAAGAGCAGGAAGAAAGAACATCAAGTAATGTCCTAAGCCCCTCAGCTCACAAACCCCACCTCATTCCACTCTTCCACATCTTCCCATCCTCCGACCCACCACTTCACCTCGTCGATATCTTGGATGGAAGAGAGAGGCAGGAGCGGGCAGAGCAGAGTAGCTGCTGTTGAGCAGAGGCGAGTGCAGGGTGGTGCTGATTGCATGATGAGCAGCAGGTGACGAGGTTTGCGTTTCCAGTGCTGACTGAGATGCTGCTGATGAGTATGGGTAGGATGGCTTCAGTGCTTCGTGTGCTGACACGTGTGCTGGCTCTTGTGCTGGTTGTGCTGACGTCAGTGCTGCTGGTTGTGCTGACGTGAGCTCCTGTAACACCTCTACTGCCTCCTCCGTTCCTCTCAGAATCACTGCTGCTCGCGCTGCTGCGTGCAAACTGTGGTGCTGGGGTGAATAGGGACGGGGATGGATGGGCAGAGAGAGAAACTAGGTTCGAAAATCACTGAACCTGACGTGAGTTCCTGTAGCACCTCCTCCGCTCCCTCCGTTCCTCTCGGGCAGTATTTTGTATGCGCAGCGCGCAACATAGTATGACCCGCTGGTGCAAACCTTGCAAGCCACAGTATGAGCCCCTAGCTCACAATGTGCGTGCCGACGAGTGCTAGTGTGTGCTGGTGCGTGCCAGAGTGTGCCGGTGCCTGCAGGTGCGTGCCAGTGTGTGCCAGTGTGTGCTGGTGGTGCTGGTGCATGCCGGTGTGTGCCGGTGCGTGCCGGTGCATGCCGGTGTGTTCTGGTGGTGCTGGTGCGTGCCGGTGCGTGCCTGCGATGCACACAACCATTTTGACAGAGTGGCACCAGGCCAGGGTGCACACATCCCTTTTACGCCTAGAGAGGGGGCACCAGGGGCCGTAGAGATTGCAACATACAAGCAGCAGCCAACGGGGAGTCTCTGGTGCCGCAAATGCCATGCCGAGCAGCAAGAGGCAGGGAGGGAGAGCACCCAGGAGAAACATGCCACGCCACCTGCAGACATAGGAGTGCAGTGCAGTGAAGAGCGGTTTTGTGAGTTAGTAGCAGCCAGCAGAGCAGCACGAGACAGGGAGGTATAGAGCCCAGGACAAAAATGCCACACCACCTGCAGGAACAGGAGCAGGAATAGGAATACAGTGCGGTGAAATGCGGTTCTGTGAGTGAGCAGCAGCCACGGGGCAGGGGATGGGGGGGGGTTCTGCTGCTGCCACTGCCATGGCGAGCAGCAAGGGACAACAGAGCAGAAAAGACGCCAGTACTGGCGGAGAGCAGAAGGAATGACTGATTTTGGTACGGTGCAATGCGGTACCATGAGTAAGAAGCAGAGCACCCACGATGGAGATTACATGCATGCGTGCCTCACCAGCTGTGATGTCGCTCCCGAGGCAAGCCGGCTAGGGATGACACCAGGGCAGAGAAGACGTTAGCTCAGCGCTCAGCACCAGGGCGTTAGCTCAGCTCTGAGTGCTGCGTTGAGTGCTGCGTTGAGTGTTGAGCTGAGTGCTGAGCTGAGTGCTGAGCTGAGTGCTGCGCTGAGTGCTGCGCTGAGTGCTGCGCTGAGTGCTGCGCTGAGTGCTGCGCTGAGTGCTGCGCTGAGTGCTGCGCTGAGTGCTGCGCTAAGTGCTGAGCTGAGTGCTGCGCATGCATACATGCACACATGCATACATGCATACATGTTACCCTCAAAATGCATACATGCATACATGTTACCCTCAAAATGCATACATGCATGCCTCACCCACCAACTGTGATCTTGCTCCAGAGGCAAGCCAATGAGCAGAGCAGAGAAGACGCCAACGCTTGTTGAAAGCTGAGCCAACGTGCCCCACGTGCCGCGAGATGAGGTGGGGGTTACCTGCGAGAGGGAAGGTGGGAGGAGAAGGTGAGGGTAACGTTGAAAGAGAGAGAGAGAGACGAGGAGGGCTGAGCTGAACCAACCTGCCCCATGTGACCCAAGATGATGTGGGTAAGCCCACATCATTACCTACGTCGGAGGATAAGTTTGGGGAAAGGAGGGTGGAGTAAGAGGGGTAAATGGTGAAATAGCTCAGGATATCTCAAGGGCAACTGGAAGAGTACCCCGGACCGGATGCACAGTGAAGAAACTCAAACAAGCAGCACATGGAATCGAATGTCGCTGTTCCTTGCAGTAAAGCATAGAGAATTTATATAGCAGAAAGCAGGCTAACAGAGACAGCAGCTAGGTATAAAAACAACTAAAGCATTACAATACTTATTGAAAAGAATGACTCAACACAGTACCTCGGAAGTAAAACAGAGCAACTTATCAGTACCTCTGATATGTAGAGAGGAACAGAGCCAGATACGATTCCCAGGCCAATCCCAACAAGCGCTCGGCCAATCACCATGTGCCACGTGGCAGATGCTGCAGCACTGCGCTGCAGAGGGTGGGAGGGAGTTTGTACGTTGAGATCGGTGCGGTTCAATGCGGTTCGATGCAGTGCATGACCTATAATGAGGTGCAATGAGGCGCCAATGAGATTCACGAGGCACAACAGGGTGCAATGCGGTGCAATACGTAGCAATGAGGTGCAACCAGAGATCAAAATAGAGAGCGGGAATGCGTGGGAGGGAGGGAATGTGAGTGGCGTGGGGAGCGGGAATGCGTGGGAGGGAAGGAGTGAAGGACGAATATAGATACGAATTGTTGAACATACTAATTCAAAACAATAAGGCACCGATAAATTATTGCTTTCTTCTGCCTTCATCCCTCCCGCCTATCCTTCACAAGCCCCTCCTCCCTTCTTTCCCCCACTTTCCCCCACTCTCTTTCCCCAGCTCTCTTTCCCCCACTCTCTTTCCCCAGCTCTCTTTCCCCAGCTCTCTTTCCCCAGCTCTCTTTCCCCAGCTCTCTTTCCCCCGCTCTCTTTCCCCCGCTCTCTTTCCCCCGCTCTCTTTCCCCCGCTCTCTTCCCCCCGCTCACTTTCCCCCGCTCACTTTCCCCCACTCTCTTTCCCCCACTCTCTTTCCCCACTCTCTTTCCCCCGCTCTCTTTCCCCCCTCCCACCCAACAACCCCAACCCATTTGCTCCTCCCTCTGCCACGCCTGCATGTTCCCCACGACACACCTGGGCAGCGAGTCAGCCGTAAACCGATTTCAGAGTCGACTAAAAAATAAATCACGCCTGACTGTTTCCCCACCACACACACACCTGAGCAGCGATCCAGCAATGAACGGCAGGGCGGCAATCTGAAACGCCCGCCTCCTCCCTGCCACGTCAGCAAGCCACCCCCCCAGCGGCGCCCCCACTGCTGCTAGCGCCAATGGGATGCTCACAACCAGTGCTGCATGCATGGACGGATGGTGGAGGGAGAGTGGGGACGAGGGGACAAGAGGGGAGAAAGCGAGGCAAAAGCAGCGAGAGATGGACGGGGATACGACAGAAAGGTGGGGGAGGAAGGAGAGGGGTTGCCTCAAAAAGCCATGGCCCAAGTGGTGCCGCCACTGCTGCCAGCGCCGATGAGACGCTCACAACCATCACTGGATGGATGGATGGATGGTGGGGGAAGAGTGGGGACGAGGTGTCAAGAGGAGGGAAAGAGGGGGGAAAGAGGGGGGAAAGAGGGGGGAAAGAGGGGGGAAAGAGGGGGGAAAGAGGGGGGAAAGAGGGGGGAAAGAGGGGGGAAAGAGGGGGGAAAGAGGGGGGAAAGAGGGGGGAAAGAGGGGGGAAAGAGGGGGGAAAGAGGGGGGAAAGAGGGGGGAAAGAGGGGGGAAAGAGGGGGGAAAGAGGGGGGAAAGAGGGGGGAAAGAGGGGGGAAAGAGGGGGGAAAGAGGGGGGAAAGAGGGGGGAAAGAGGGGGGAAAGAGGGGGGAAAGAGGGGGGAAAGAGGGGGGAAAGAGGGGGGAAAGAGGGGGAAAGAGGGGGGAAAGAGGGGGGAAAGAGGGGGGAAAGAGGGGGGAAAGAGGGGGAAAGAGGGGGGAAAGAGGGGGGAAAGAGGGGGGAAAGAGGGGGGAAAGAGGGGGGAAAGAGGGGGGAAAGAGGGGGGAAAGAGGGGGGAAAGAGGGGGGAAAGAGGGGGGAAAGAGGGGGGAAAGAGGGGGGAAAGAGGGGGGAAAGAGAGGGAAAGCAGGTACAGAAGGACGGGGATATGAGAGAGAGGTGGGGGAGGAGAGCGAGAGCCAATGGGATGCTCTGAATCAGTGCTGGATGGAAAGGGGGAGAGAGGAGGGGAGAAGGGGGGAATAGGGGGGGGAAGAAGGGGGAAAGAAGGGAAAAGAATAGGCCAAGAGAAGGAGGATAGGACGGTGGATAGGGAGGGGAGGGACAGCAGAAAGGGGAGAGGGACAGGATAGTGGACGCACTCAGTGCCACGTACTGACATGCTATGTACTTTGCTACTTACATACGTGTGACTTAATTAAGTGTTACTTAAGGCTGCCATGCTGGATAGGGTTGATGCAGGTCCACGTGTAGGAAGAGAATAGATGCGTTGAATCTATTTAGTAACAGTCTATTTACTCATGTGCTGCAAAAGAGCTACTACTGTCTTGCATGCTGCAACGCTGGTTGCGGGTTAGTGTAGGTCAGCCAGAGGGAAGGGGAGAGACGTGTTGATAACGCTGACTAGCGTCCTCATAACATACATGCCCGAAAGCGCTATTACTTACACGCTGCCATGCTGGTTGCAGGTTGGTGGAGGTAAGCCAGAAGGAAGGGCAGCGAGGCGTTGATAACACTGGTGGGAACAGGTAGGGGATGAGATGGGATTGTATAGGGAGAAGATAGATCGCTTATGGAAGCTGAAGAAGGACAGAGATGGGTGGGATGGGATGGGATGGTAAGGGATGGAGTGTGGTACATTGAGGCGCTAAGTGGTGGAAATGACAAGGGCGCTGTGAAGTGATGCGTTCTTTGAGAAGCATACGCAACCATTTGGGGATGCGTCAGGTTTGCTCTATCAGAAGCATACGCAACCATTTGGGAATGCGTCAGGTTCGCCACAAGAACATTATGCAAAGAGGGGAAAAAATGAAAATGCGAATAAAAACTGTAACAGTGTCGTACCTGACATGGTAACCAAAGGAGAGACCCCCACAGCAGGCGAAGAGAACAGGCAGCGCCACCCCCGCCCCTCCGTACCGTCCCTTCCCCACCGCTCTCCTCCCCAACCCATAGCTCCCTCCTCCCAACACCCGGCCCCAAAACACGCCCTTCAATTCTTTCGTTAAATAAGACAACGGCTCCTTCCTCCCAACACTCGGCTCTGTATCTGCTGGTGGCGGCACAGCGGCGGGCGAAGCTTGAAGGAGTGTTGATGGGAGGGTTTCAGGAGAGTGAGGGTGTGCGAGAGAGGTGGAAGAAAGGGGGGCATGGCGTGGAGGCAGGGGGAGCGACGCTGCTAGAATGAGCTTGTGGAAGGGACGGTCCTCCTCCTCAGGGATTGGCTCTCCCTCGCCATTGGCTGCCATTCATGCGTGCACCCATCATGCATGCACCAATCATGCATGCACCCATTATGCATGCACCCATCATGCATGCACCAATCATGCATGCACCCATTATGCATGCACCCATTATGCATGCACCCAATCATGCATGCACCAATCATGCATGCACCAATCATGCATGCACCCATCATGCATGCACCAATCATGCATGCACCAATCATGCATGCACCCATCATGCATGCACCAATCATGCATGCACCCATTATGCATGCACCCAATCATGCATGCACCAATCATGCATGCACCAATCATGCATGCACCCATTATGCATGCACCCAACCATGCTTGCACCAATCATGCATGCACCATCATGCATGCACCAATCATGCATGCACCCATCATGCATGCACCCATCATGCATGCACCCATCATGCATGCACCAATCATGCATGCACCCATCATGCATGCACCCATCATGCATGCACCCATCATGCATGCACCCATTATGCGTGCACTCATCATGCAATGTATCCATCATGCATGTACCCATCATGTAACCACCTATGCACCCATCATGCGACCATCTATGCACCCTTCCGCACATACATGCAAAATCATCTCATTATCCCTCCATCCTTCCTTCCATGATCCATCCATCCTCCCACCATGGACCCCCCAATGCCAATTTATGCATCCGAGAGCACACAGAAGAATTCGTTACGCGAGAATGTGAAGGAACTAGCAAGGCTCACATGTCGGGAAACTTCAGGGAAACTACAGAGTGCTAGGCGAAATTTTCCAGGATTAAGTAATAGCCGTAGGGTTCGTACCGCTTCCCATTCCAATCAAATGGCTAATGGCTGTCGTTCTATGTCTAGCAGCCACTGCAAATTCTCGACTGCTGCTGCTGCTCGAAGCACCTCTCGCGTTATCGGTGCTGCCTCCAACAAGTACATCCCCGGGCTTGCCATGTCTCATGCTTCTGTCGCGATCCCCTCTCTCGGTCTCTGCTTTCTGCGGTAACCCTAATCTCAGAACAGAAAATGTCGCCTACACTTCTGTTCCTTGCGGCTCCGTTATGATCGAGTTTTGAAGTCACGGACTCGGGTTCATGTCACACAACGAACTTCGAATTTACGTACTCTAGCTTTACGGATCATAGCTTTACAAATTCATCCCGCGATAATGGATTCCGGGAATGTCGGGGTGAGGGCCTTGCCTTGAAGACCTACTGGGGAATATTGAATCCGACTAACAGTTTATCCGTTAGTGTGCGCTGGTTAAATATTGTACACCTCTCATTTTTTTCTATGGCATATTGTTATTATGTGGCTTGCCCCAAATATAGCCTGTTTCAAATGTGCACACGTGTACAGTGTTCAGCCCAGGGCTCCCTTTTGCAGGGTGTTTTTCCCTGTTTTCCCTGCCAAAAAAGGTGTTTTTTTTAGCTACACTGCCAAAACTGGGTCCCCGCATGAAGTCGCCCGGCCTCAGTTCGGGAAGAGTTTGTTTTAACACGGCTGAAGCCGGCTTGCCATTGTTTTAACTCGGCATTTGAAGAGTTCCTTAGCAAAGCACCCGGCCAGTTTCCTTACGTGTTTCTGAGCTTTCATCGCACCCAACGAAATTCCCCTAGCAAAAAAACGAATGTCCAGCAGGTTGGGCCGTTTTGCCGCACCATCTGTACAAACAAATCTAAGTACCGAGACTCACATATACAGCTGAAGAGAGGCTCTTGGGCTGTTTTCGCGAACACCACCTGTGTTGTGGAAAGGAATCAAAGTACAGAGACTCGCTGAGACGGCTATGGAGCGAGCCAGTCACAAGTACCAATTCTCAAATGGTGACAAGTCACCAACTCTCTCAGACCGAGGAGTGCCGAAAGTACACTGCAAAACAGAGTCCTCGGAAAAAATCACTCTGCCACAAATCAGGTTCTGCGAAAAATACCCTGCCAATATCCTGATTTTGCCGCGCGCCACCCGACGGGAACCCTGATTTGGAAGAGTGCCCTAAAACAAAAAGAGAGCCCTGGTTCAGCCTTGATGCCCAGCTCGGAGTCTACTTGGGTTGATGTTAGCGTGAGGGAGCAAGCACAGAGTGCAGCGCCTCGTGGGCTATTGTCCATCACGAAACGGACGCACGTGATTTCTTGTCTCTCTGGGTTTGCCCTTTTTATATTCCAACATCCCCTCCCGGAATGTTAGACAATTGGGTAACTCTGGCAAGGGCTTAAAACCCGAAGCCTGAATTACAAAAACTTAGTCAACGCTTGGTTTGGTAGGCCTGGGTTCGGGCAATATAAGGTGCGGAAAATTTGCGAAAGGGAAAGTGTTAGTGAAACATGATGCGACTCTCCCGTGAGTCAACGAGAGGATATCAGACATCGCAGCCCCGACAGCCTGCAAACAATCTGCTTACAACCTCAGAGAGCTGGAGCAGAGTAAAAAAACAGTGCAACAGAACAAGCTAACAACGCAGTTACTCTCTGATAGGATCCAAGCATCGCGCATACCAGCCAGGCATATCAAGTGAAAACATGTTAAGGACGATCGTATAGTAGGTGCAGCGCGTACACTGAATCGAAGGGAAATGCAGGTGCTGACTACGAGTGTGAAGCACGGAGAAAATGGTCGGCACAGAAGAAATTAGCCCTTTGCCTACCTCGCTTTCCCCGCCCGTCTCCCTCGCTCTTCCCGCCCACCGCCCTGGCCCCGCCCGAGGCCTCGCCTCCTCCCCGCCTGTCGCCTTCGCATCTCGCACCCACCGCCCTCGCTTCCCCCTGCTCGCTCTCTTCCCTCTGTTCGCTCTCTCCCCACTGCTCGCTCTCTTCCCCCTGCTCGCTCTCTCCCCCCTGCTCGCTCTCTTCCCCCTGCTCGATCTCTTCTGTCAAAGCATATGCATGTTATATATGTGTAGGCTGTAGTGGGGTAGCCAACATGGGGTACAGCCCCTTTTAGGGTTTCATATTTGTACCCAATCCTTTCATAGTTCATTCATCACTGCTGCTAGATTCTAACATGGTTTCAGAGCACTAGGTCCTTAGGACCGTCTTATTTTTCGGGCCCACCTACCGTTGCGGTTACCGCGCTACCCCACGTGTTGTCCTGCGCCTGCCTGCCTGCCCTGCCTTGTGACGTACTGCGCTGCGCGCGCCGTCCTGCAGCCCTCGCGCTGCCTCCTGCTGCCCTAGGCCAGCGCACCGCCCCTGCATGCCCGTAAGGCCCACGCGCCGCCTCTGCAGGCCCGTCAGGCCCACGAGCCGCCCCTGCAGGCCCGTCAGGCCCGCGAGCCGCCCCTGCAGGCCCGTCAGGCCAGAGCGCCGCCCCGCCAGGCCGCTGACGCGGCCCCGCCCTGCCTCTGACGCGGCCGCGCCCTGCCTCTGACGCGGCCGCGCCCTGCCTTTGACACGGCCGCGCCCTGCAGCCGACGCGGCCGCGCCCTGCCTCTGACGCGGCCGCGCCCTGCCGCCGACGCGGCCCCGCCCTGCCTCTGACGCGGCCGCGCCCTGCCGCCGACGAGGCCCCGCCCTGCCTCTGACGCGGCCGCGCCGTGTCGCCGACGCGGCCCCGCCCCGACCCTGACGCGGCCCCGCCCTGCCTCTGACGCGGCCGCGCCCTGCCTCTGACGCGGCTGCGCCCTGTCGCCGACGCGGCCCTGCCCCGACCCTGACGCGGCCTCGCCCTGCCTCTGACGCGGCCGCGCCCTGCCTCTGACGCGGCCGCGCCCTGTCGCCGACGCGGCCCCGCCCCGCCCCTGACGCGGCCCCGCCCTGCCTCTGACGCGGCCGCGCCCTGCCTCTGACGCGGCCGCGCCCTGCCTCTGACGCGGCCGCGCCCTGCCGCCGACGCGGCCCCGCCCTGCCTCTGACGCGGCTGCGGCCTGCCGCCGACGCGGCCCCGCCCGGACGCCGACGCGGCCCCGCCAGCCCTGC